TACTTTAAACCCTGAAAATTAGGAAAAATGACAATATGGGAATAGTCAGGGTTGGGAGGGTTGTGGGGATATAGGCACATGAAAAATTTCTTTAAGCTGTGAATTTATTCAAACATTTTGGAAAGCAATTTGGAATTATGCAAATGAAATAACTAAAATGGACAAACCCTCTAATCCAGAAACTCAGTTAATGGACTCATACCTTAAAGAGGCCAATGATAAGAAGAAAGTTCATATATTCGCCAAAATATTTATATACTTTTCGTAACGGCAAAGAAATGTAAACAATATAGATGCCCATTGGTTGAAGAATAGCTAACAAGTTGAGGTATATGAATATAATAGAATATCACTGTGCTATGATAAATAATGAATTTGAATATGGTATACATTCTCTGAATATAGCAAAGCATGGAATGACTATATGTAGACTATATATATATATGTATATGTATATATACATGCATGTGTTATATACCAACATATATGCATGTGTGTATAATATGTATGCATGTACATGCATTCATGTGCGTACACATACTCACATTGATGCAGAGTGGAATAAGCAACAGAGTCAAGAAAATAATATACATAATGACTACAACAGACACACAAATCAAATAAAAAATGAATGTAGTAAATGTTTGAAGATAAAATATACCTTGAAAGAAGAAATATGAGAGGACACTCTGAAGTTACTCTTTCACGGAAGTAGGAGGTCCACAGCCATTGCCCATTGCTCAGGCTTTGGGACTTTTTCAATGTATTGTTTGGGAAAGCTGCTGTTTTTCTCTTCTTTTTTTATTTTCATTTAAAAAATACCATTTGTTATATGAAATGGGAGGGTGATGGTAGTGATAGTGGGGAAAACTATGATAATGTAAGAAAAAGACATAAGTAAAAATATTTTTGAGCGTCCTGATTTTTCATTAGACAAGGCAAAGACAATGTTTTGTTTTTCCAGAACTAAAAATCAACTTAATCAACACTATTCCCACTAAATATGCATGCCTCACATAAGAATGCACTTCTTTTAGATACTAGAAAATCATTATAAGAACAAATGTTTATGTTAGTTATTTTTCCTCCCCATGTGGATTTTCAAGGAACCACATCTTTCACTATGCTTCAACAATTCTGTCACCATAAAATGCATATTTTTATGGAAGATTTTTAAATGCCTTCTAAGTTCAATCATTGTATAAAGTCAAATCCTTTCTCTATCCAATTTCAAATATCTTTTCATCACAGGAGGATAAGGGTAAAGTCTGACTACTGTTTCTCTCCTTTGTAGAGTTCAGTTAATATTTTAGCAAAATCCAGAGTCAAGACTCTGTAAACTATGGTGTTTCTATGGCATACCTGTATATCCAGAACAGATCAGTTCTCATATTAATTGAAATAAGTTGCATTACCATTATGTAATTGTATTTCAATATTTGTCAGTAAGCATTTTATTAAGACATTGTTCTACTTTCATGTTGTCCTGCTGATTAGATTTATGAGTAATCATAACATATACTCCTTTTATTTTACCTATGTTGTCTAAAATTAGCAGTGTCAGGTCTATTATTTATGCTTACTTTAAAAAAGATAGCCACATTGAATGAATTATTACTTTTATTTGATAGATCTTTGAACTCATCAATGATAGTGTCCTTAGAGTAATGTAGCTTACAACACTGCTATGCTTTTTTTTTTTTTAAGGATGGGTACTACAACTATGATTTCAGTGGTACAAAGAATTCCTGGCTGAGTAAATTCCTTCAACTAATGCTTGTATGGCACCTTCTCTATAACTTATAGTCTTAGATGCTTACAGCACTGTGTGTCTAAGTAAATTATTGAGGATCACAGTGACAATCAGTTATCAGAAGTGGGATTTAAATACAGGTCCTCCTCACTCCAAGGCCAGTTGTTTATCCCAACATCATTTTGTCTGCTCTGTTATTCCAAATACTTTTTGTCCATGTGTTTTCCTAAATGCACCACAGAAGATACACCCACAATTTTGTTTGTATTAAAGAAGTGGTTAGATTGTCTATCAGTTAGCTTTTACTTCTACCAATCAAGCAGAGTATTTAATTTGCTGGCCATATTCATGTTAAAAGATTTATTTTTTAGCACTTTTCTTGAATAACTTAATGTTATGTCATAATCTACTTATATCTGTTATTTTTTTCAACGTTCTTTGGGACTTCTGCACTTTCCATTTTTCTGAGATCATAGTGTTTATTTTTTAATAGTTTTCAGACATGTAGCCCTGCCAGAAGAATATTGGTATTAAAAAATATGTGCTTATGTGACATACAATAGTTTTCAATAGCAGCAAGAGAACCAATGCACCATACAGGATAGAGGCTGGACTTAACTCAGGAGACCTCAGTTGAAGCCTACCTTAAATATCTACTGGACTTATAATTATGGCTAGTCTTTTGAATACTCAGAGCCTTAGTTTTCTTAACCATAAAAGACGCATAATGAAATTAGCACTACCCACTCCACTGTTATGATGAATACATTTCACAAACATTAAAACATTTGGTAATTATAAATTGTTACTATTACTGCACCACTAGACCTACTGCATAATTCCCCCATTTAGTACTGTATGATCTTTTCCTCCAATTCTGTCCTAAGTCCAGTTCACAGGCCACCAATAGTGTTTATTCATGATATTGCTTGTACTGATGGTCTAACAGAATGGACTCCTTCATCAGCTCCACATCATAATATGAACCATATGCTTTCTTCATCTTTTGTTTACTAGTTTGTTTTTTCTCCTGTAAAGATGCATATTCTGATCTGTTTAGAGTATCTATAGATCTTCCTTAGGAGGCTCCTGAGTATTCTACACTTCATTATAATCAGTGTAAACATCACACCATATACCAAAATAAAGTCATTATGGGTTCATGATTTAGATATAAAGGCTGATACTATAAGCAAATTGGGAGAGCAAAGAATAGTTTACCTATCAGATCTATGGAGAACAGAAGAAATCATGACCAAACAGGAGATAGAAAACATTACAAAAAGCAAAATGGAAAACTTTGATTACATTAAATTGAAAAGTTTTTGCACAAACAAAGCCAATGCAACTAAGATTAGAAGGAAAGTGGACAATTGAGAAAGAATTTTTGCAACCAGTCTCTCTGATAAGGACCTCATTTCTAAAATATATAGAGAATTAAGTCAAATCTATAAGAATACAAGTCATTCTCCAATTGATAAATGGTCAAAGGATATGAACAGATAGTTCTCAGATGAAGAAATTAAAGCCTTCTATAGTCATATGAAAAAATGCTTTAAATCGCTATTGATTAGAGAAATGCATATTAAAAACAACTCTGAGGTACCACATCACACCTATCAGATTGGCCAACATGACAAAAAAGGAAAATGATAAATGTTGGAGAAGATGTGGGAAAATTGGAACACTAATGCATTGTTGGTGGAGTTGTGAAATGATCCAACCATTTTGGAGAGCACTTTGGAGCAATGCCCAAAGGTCTATAAAAATGTGCGTATCCTTTGACCCAGTAATAGCACTTCTAGGGCTATATCCCAAAGAGATCATACAAATGGGAAAAGGACCCACATGTACAAAATATTCATAGCAGCTCTTTTTGTGGTGGCAAAGAATTGGAAATTGAGAGGATGCCCATCAATTGCAGAATGGCTGAACAAGTTGTGGTATGTGAATGTAATGGAATACTATTGTGCTATAAGAAATGATGAACCGGTTGACTTCAGAAAAACGTGGAAAGACTTGTATGGTCTGATGCTGAGTGAAGTGAGCAGAACCAAGAGATCATTGTACACAATAACAGCCATGTTGTGCGATGACTAATATTGATAAACTTAACCCTTCCCAGCAATATAAGGATCTAAAACATCTCCAAAGGCCTCATGATGGAAAATGCTATCCACATCCAAAGAAAGAACTATGGAAGTTGAATTGCTATTTCTTTGTCTTCTGTTGAGTTTTGTTTCCTTTTTTTTTTTTTTGGTGGTTACTCCTATTGGTTTTAATTTTTACTTACAACATCACTAGTGTGAAAATATGTTTAATAGGAATGTATATGTATAACCTATATCAAATTGTGTGCCATCTTGGGGAGGGTGGTGGGGAGGAAGGGGGAGAAAAATTTTAAACTCAAAAGCATATGGAAGTGATTGTTGATAAATCAAAATAAATTAATAAAAAAGAAGAAAAAAAATCAGTGTAAACAATGCCAACCAGAAATAGGAGGATCTATGTAACCTTCCATGTATAAGGAATCCCTCTTCTATTTGGACTTCATAAAGGATATCCTCTATGGTGGTAATGGACACATGGTAAGAATATACCTCCAATTTTATCTCTCTATGTTGATTCTCAGAAAAAAAAAATGAATAAGAAGTTCTCTAGTTATATCTATCATGGAAACTTGTTCCATCATTACACATGCAGGAGAGACACTTTGCTAGAAAAGCTTAATTCCTTTAAGGTATATATATAAAAATATTTATTTTTAAATTAATAATGAAAAACAGTTGAGTCTCACATTCTCTGTATCTCTCAATCAATTTTGTACTGTGAAGTGGTTTCCAGTAGAAAATTACCAAATAAAAAGACCTGAGTTTTCAGCACTAATACAGTGATGATGAAAACTATGGCTACTACTATTACTACTATTATTACTACTACTACTACTACTATTACTACTACTACTACTACTACTACTACTACTACTACTACTACTATTACTACTAGAAATAGAAAAATGCATTTAAGAGATTGTTGGCAATAGAGATGATGAAGATAAGATCTCAGAAATCATTTTAGTAAAACCTTCAGTTTACAGTTGAGAAACTTATGATCAGGATAGTGGAATAATAAACTTTCCTTATATGCGGGTATATAATACTAAAATACTATCATTAAAGGAAGCTCATTATACGATATGTGTAATGACGATTGAACTAACTCATTGAACTAATGATCAGCCTCTTACCTCCCCAGCATTTGCCTTTTCACAAACATATGTCTCATAGTACTGGAAGAATTCAGGGGCATGGTCATTGACATTCAGAACCTGCACATGCACATGTGCCTCAGATACTTGTTGTGAATTATCTGGGGGGAAAAAGGAAATGAAATTAAAACATTAAAGTCCTTTATTTTCATAAACTCATTGGTTTTAAAGCACTTAATAGAATATGTAGTCCATTTAGGAAACCCTCACATATCATATTTTATTTGGAAATTCTGTAAAATCACAAGAAATAATATCATTGGGAATAAATGGTATAGCAATAGCCAGGCTTTGCTATAATCATAGGGAGGCACAGGTTGAATATATGTGAAGTGGTAAATAATTGTTCATGAAGACCAAAGTTTAAACATGCCTCACACTATCATAAGAGTTTTAGGCATTTGTTGTCCAAATCTATGTAAAAAAAATAAAAAAGAGAAATTCATTTTTCCCTCACCTCTGCATCAATATACATATAATATAAGAAGAATTTATTTAAAATGTCTACTAAGTGCCAGGCAAGTGATATTCAATAATTCTTAAAATGTATATTGGCAGTGGCTGTTTTGGGATGAAGGAAGAAGGAAGAAGACATTGCTTTATACCATAGTTTGGTTATGTTATAAAAAAGGATAGATTACCTAGGTTTAGCTTTATTGTACCTTTGGAACAATCTTTACCTAAGTTTGTACTCTGTAATACAAAAGGCCATCTGATACAGGGATTTATTTGTATTTCTATTCCTATCAATTTGTAGTATTCCAACCAGGGCAAGATGTAAATGGGGAAATTTTTAGAAAGTATTGAAAAAGCCAAGCCCCTATAAATCTTGTATCACTTAATAATGCTGCGTGAAGGCAGTTACCTCAAAAGTACATAGACAAGATACATTTATGTAAATTAGTATGAGGGATGATAATAATTATTTATTTCCAAAGGAACTGCTGTACTAATTTAGGTCAGCACCTTCTCTGTAATTTACAGGTGTCTGAGGTACTGAGAAGTTAACTGAATTACCTAGCATCACACAGGCATAAAGACAGTCTATGTGTGCATTGTTTATTAATCTATCTAATTATCCATCTTTCTATCTAGCTATCTATTAGACATGACATTCCATAGTTATAGAGAACTCATTAGTGAGGGGACACTATTTGTCAATGGAAATGAGCAAAATTTCTAAAACTTTGATAAAGTAGCTTGTTCAATGAAAAGTTAAGTGAGTTCCCTATGTTCACATAACTAGGATATATCAGAAGCAGTACAAAGAAGGTAGGTTTTCCCAATTTCAAGGCTGGCTATCTACACACACATAATATATACATGCACACATACATATACACATTCACTCAATATATATGCATATATACATGCAAATATATGTATGTATGTGCATGCATGTTAATGTAATGTATAGAGTAGTTGCATGTCATAGCATTCTAGATCTAGAGCTGAAAGGGACCCCAGAAACCATGTAATCCAACCCACTTATTTTATAGATGAGGAAATTAAGATTCAGGAATATTAAGTGATCTGTTCAGTGTCATATAGAAAGCAAATACAAGTTTTAGGATTCGAATCTAGGTTCTCTAAATGCAGAAGCAGGTCTCTTTCATGTTACTATACAGTCTCCCTACATACATGTATATTTTCACTTTTGATTTTGGTGATAAAATGTCACATGTGCCAGCTACTTATTCCTTCTTTTGCAGTTTTATTTGTATCTTGGTTTCCATGAACAAATTCAAGTGATTCTTAATGTTTACTACTTTTAATTTTTATACTAGAAGGTCTAAAATTATTCTCTGAAGTAATTTGTGCCATTTTATAAAAAGAGATTGAGCTGAATTTTGACTGTAATCCAACTCTGTGTCAGGGCAGTCCTCAGTTCCAGTTTACTTCTGACACATAGTGGTTCTTAGACTCTGGGCAATAATTCATCTGGCTTCTCTAGGGCCTAAGTGTTGTTTCTCATACTCTCTAAATGTTTGTTCTGTATTTATATAAGGGATTTTTCTCACTAGGATTTATACTCATGAAATCAGGTGCAGACATTCCTCAGGGCCTGAAAAAATGCCTTGCTCAAAGGAAGAACTTAAATGGTTTTGGAATGCATAAATAAAGAAATTACTTGAAGTTAAAAATCAAGAAGTTCTGTTTTAAAAACATAAGAAAAACAAATTTGTGGGGAGAAAAATTTAATTAATTATAAATGAAAATGTAAATTTATAGTAAAGCCTACAAAATAAAATGTTATAAGAAATGCATATGAAATCAAGTTTATAAATTATATACTAATTATATATCTTTTTTGGTTTAGTGAGGAATATTGAGTCTCTTAATTTAACTAGCACCTTGATAAACAGCTTGCCTACTTCACTGGTAAGCTTGTCAGAGAATGGATTCAGAATAATTAATCTCAATAATTTTAAGAAATTATAAAATGGTATACTTTATTCCTTTTAATAGAACAATTAGTTTTATATAAAAAAAACATTCAGTCTGTAAGAAGTGCAACTGGTATTTTGGAGAATTAGTTTCTTATTGAGTAACCTTCTGTTCTCCCGAGGTTATCTTCTATAATCTGGCAGATAAATTAGTTGAACTGTATTATCAAAAATTTCACTCATGTGAAACTAAGCAAGTAAAACTAATTTGTTTCCTAGATTATTCTAAAACATATACATTTTAAAATTGGAAGGTAAATACTTTAAACAACTTTAAGAGAGAGACAGAACATGACCTCAAGTTCATTTAGTCTGTTTCTGCAAGATTTCATAAGCAAATTTAATGTTTGTAATAATACTTTACCTAATTAATACCTAAAATTAATCTTCAATTGTACTATTCTTGTTGTTTGATCCTTTCTCCAGCTACACTTCACATTGGTAATTACTGTCCCTTTCTGAAACTTTTAGGGTCCAATTAACTGACTGTCAATGTTAGGTTTTTTTGGTTCTTGTTTTTGTTTTTATTTTTGTTGCTATTTCTAGTGTTTTTTAATGAATCCTCTTAGTTTGTCCTTTAATGAAACTGAAAAGATAGAGTTTTCCACTCAGATTTTTGCTTAGTGATTTCATATTCTTTTCAAAACAATTGTCATAGTGCCTTATTGCTATTATTTGTAAAGTTAGTTATATACTTTTATAATAAAGATATGAGTACACATGTATGCAACCTAAACTGACATTCCATATTAACTATTACAGAGAAATAGAAAGACAGAGACAGCGAAAGAGAAACAAAGATGAATTTTGTATATGCTATACTCCATGAGACTTTGTTTTATATCTTTTGTAGATATTGATAGAACTGTGGTATGTATCATGGAACCTTGTATCATTTTTACATATATATATAGAGAGAGATACATTTATTTAGTTATATGCAATATGTCTTCCTAAAGTGCAGATCTGTCCATATCACCTCTCCCTTCCCCTCACATATCCACACATCTCATTCACTAAACTCCATTGGATCCTTATCAACTTCAGATATAATACAAAATCTTCCATTTGGCATTCAAAACCCTACACAGCTTCTTCCCCTCCTACCTTTCTACTTTTCTTACACCTTACTTCTTACCCCTTCCCCCACATACTCTGCAATTCAATGACACTAGAATTTGTTCTGTTTCTTGCACTTGACACTCCCTTTTCTGGCTCAAAGCATTTTCCCTGGTTGTCCCTAATGCCTGGAATTTTGTCTATCCTTAGCTCTGCCTTCTGAATTCCCCAGGTTCTTTCAAGTCCTAGTTAAAATTCAATCTTCTATAAGAAACCTTCCCTGATTTTCTTTAAATCTAGTCCTTTCCCTAGATAGAAGGAATCTCCCATTTATTCTGTATATATCTACCTTGTATATAGTTCCCCCATTTTGACTCTGATTACCTTGAGGAAATTTCCTTGAGACTTTTACCCTTGTATCTCCAGCACTTAGAATAGTGTTCAGCAGATAGTAGGTGCTTAATAAATGCTTATTAACTAAATGATATACAAATCAGAAACAACTCAAGGAATTAATGTCATATATAGTAGACATGGATATACATATGCATACTTTCATTTAATATTTTAGGATTTTGAAACTACTTTATTTTCCTCCTTTTTTTGTTTAGACCAAATAAACAATTATTGTGATATAAAGTATTTCTATCTTCACTGTCAAAAATTTTTCACATAGTTTAAGACATTTCTGAATATAGATTTATTCTGTTGCACATGTACTATTAATAATTCAGGCAAAACGCTTTATCATAAAGATTTTTAATCCACTCAATCAGCTAATCCTATTTCCTTTCAACTCAATAGCACGTTGCTAGACAAATATAATTTCATTGAAACTTAAGCATCACATTCAATTCAATTCAGTGAGCATACCTTTGTTGTTGTGTTGTTCAGTCATGTCTGACTCTTTGGAACCCCATTAGTTTTCTTGTCAAATACACTAGAGTGGTTTGCCATTTCCTTCTCCAGCTCATTTTACAGATGAGGAAACTGAGTCAATGAAGGTTAAGTGACTTACCCAGGGTCACAGCTAGTAAATGCCTGAGGCCACATTTGAACTCAGGAACAGGAGTCTTCCTGACTCCAGGCCTGCAGCTCTATCCATTGTGCCACCTAGCTACGTGTACCTTAAGTTCTTTCTATGTTGAAGACAAGCTTTGAGGATTTGTGGACAATAAATTGAAAATGCCCCCCTTCTCAAAAAACTTACATAATGGTACCCTTTACATTTGCATTGCTGTAGGCCAGGTGGTATAGTTTTCCATGTATGTTAGTCACATTAGCAGAGGCAATGTTTTTTTTTTCATGTAAAAATACTACTCTTCATGTTAAATCAAAAGATATTTGACATTACTTGCTGATATCATAGATTTTGAGACCTTCAGCTAGTCACAGAATTCTTTAACCTCTTATATGGAGAAATTGAGCAAGTCATTAATATACCTTGGTAACTCTTCTATGGCTTTTGGAGTTTTGGGTTTATTTTGGTGATGTCATGTTCTATGCATAGACACCATTAAACAGAAGTCAACAGCACATGATCTGCCTTGTTTGATTTAGTCTTTTCAATGTAAGGCTACAGGATAAATCCTCTTTTTAATATCAGTTATTAGTGATAATACATAACCTGTTTATATAGCTTGAAAAATCATTGTAAACCTTACCACAATACATAATGAAATATGGATAGCCCTTACTATAATATATAACTGTAATAGTCCATGACATGTGAACAACTTAATTTGTTTTTCTTCTAGTTAAGTGTAGCAGCTACCCTATTGATACAAATATTTAAATTTAATCTTGCTACATTCTGAAAAAAAATCCTGATATTAATCTCTATTTAACACAGTGGATTTTCCCCTATAAACAAATAAACTTTCTAATTAACATAAAAATGTAAAGATATTCACTATTGAATTATCTAACCTCAGGAATGTGAGAATGCCCATAGAAAGTGAAAGTAGTTGTGTACAACGCACATAAAAAGTGTTGTTGTTTTTTTTAAACAGCAACTAAACTTGACGTCTATTTGTTATATCCTTCAATGAATACTTGACTTGGTACATAAAATGGGTATATGACATTTCTTTTTTTTCCCCTCTAGAATGAAGGGTAAATAACGTTACAGTAAATGCAGTTGTGAACATTTTTATTATTATTACTTTAAAGTAAGTGAAATATTAAAATATTTTGTGGTTATTTCATTTTCATAGATGTCTAAACTATTCTTGAACTATCTCTACTTCTTTCCCAATTGATACATAAAGTGACATAATAAATAATGAATTTTGTCACAGAAAAGCTCAAGGAATAAAGGCTCTCTGCTTTTATAATAAATATCTTTGTGTCTCTTGACATTGAAAGCCTTGGCATTTCTGTTGCTGCAGGAGACATTTATTCCATTGTAACATTTATTCTCATATCTTTTATTGTTTAGTTAAATAGAAGATTCAGAACACAGACCAGTCATCCTGCAGTGTTTCCATAGCAGTATTCAATGCAAGACAGAAATATGCCAAAGATGTACTGCATTCCACCATAACACCTACCCACTTTCTAATAAGTTGAGAAATGAGACTTTTTTCATTTAAAATCTTTTATAAAATACATTAAAGAAAGATTATTGGATTTAATATGTAAGATCAGTTTGGACATATGTTGGACCTTGTAACATTTCAGATTTGATAATTCTAAATGTTTTCAAATCAGTTAATCAATAAAATAATTATAGAAGTATTTTATAATAGATATATTTTGAATTATGCATGATATTTGAGGCTGAATCTAAAGACCTATTATATTAACCACTTGTAGCTTAATTTTTGTGACCTAAATTGGAAATTGAACTGGGGCTCCATTGTAATCAATTTAACAAGTAGAATCAAGTATTCATTGATACCTAATTGAAATAATATTGATTACTTTGAATTCATCCATTAGAATGGCTCCCACAACTGATTCTTTTTGAACATGGAGAACTTGGTTAAGCTATATAATATCAGATTGGCATCACTTAAATCATTTCAGTTCCCTTCTCTTATTTCTTTCTCTCTCTAATAAAAGTAATTTTAAATGTGTTTTAACTCAAAAAATTACTAATAGCTGATCCAAACATGCAAGGAAATCCCCTATAGCAAATTATCCATAATGATAGAACATGTGAACAAAAGCAATTATCATTTTACTTTCAGAAAAAGCGAATAGTTGGAATTCATACAGGAAGGCCTACTGGAATTCATTTTATTGGGCAGCTAGACTCCTTGAACTATATGCAACATTATCAATTAATTTTCAGAGCAGTCTTCTGATTGATATTAAAAATAGATTGGCTTATTTTACACTATTAAAGAAGGCTGCTATAAAACTAACAGGGGTCACATTTAATATAAAGTCTTATATCAGGTGAATAATTCAGATGTCAATAGTGTTACTACTTCTCTTCCATTGTAACTTCTTTGTTTTTTCCCTTTCAAGTTTGATATCTTTTATGAAAAAGTGCAAGACCTTCCTTGGAGCTGATATACATTCTGTTTTCATTAATCTAATGGTTCAAATAATGTCTCATAACAAGCAGCCACAACAATATCATGATTAAGAAATATGAATCCCCTCCTTTCAGGAAGGGGCACTATGATAACAATTAAAATACATCTGTGCAGTACATAAAAGCACATGATGTTCCTAAATTCTTACTCACTTTTTTCAGTGGCTATAACAGTTATGTTATGCCATATAGCTATCTCCCGGTCCAGAGGTTCAGTTGTAATGATGGTGCCATTGTCATCAATGCTGAATAAACTGCAGCCAACAATAGAATACCTAAACCAAAAAGGAAAAAAATATGCTGAGATAACCCCTCTGAAATGGTGACATATAAAACTATTGTCATCCACCAAAACAGCTGTGAATACGTGATTGCAAATAGGAATTGCTCTAATAGAAAGCTCACCAACAATGTTCATTTCAAGTGTCTCTGAAATACAATTCTGCCAATATGTTTTTAATTAAGCTAAAACATTTTGCTTCTAGGGGCTAATATAAAATAGAGGAAAGATGTACTTTTTATCCTCATTGCTGGGAAGGATCAAAATAGATGAATTTACATAGTTTAAAATAAATTGTAGGCATTTTCTTTAAAACATTAAAATGAGCAGAAAATTGATAGTTACTTAATTAGTATATTCATTATTTGGGGAAGAGGAGTACAAACCTTCCTGCCTTTATTCTAACGGGGATCAGTATATGCAATTCAAAAAGGACCTACATGTACAAAAATATTCATATCAGCTTTTTTTGTGGTGGCAAAGAATTGGAAATTGAGAGGATGACCATCAATTGGGGAATGGCTGAGCAAGTTGTGGTATATGAATATGATGGAATGCTATTGTGCTATAAGAAATGATGAACAGGCTGACTTCAGAAAAACCTGGAAAGACTTGTATGGTCTAATGCTGAGTGAAGTGAGCAGAACCAAGAGAACGTTGTACACAATAACAGCCACATTGTACGATGACTAATATTGATAAACTTAACCCTTCCTGGCAATACAAGGATCTAAGACATCTCCAGAGGCCTTGTGATAGAAAATGCTATCCACACCCAAAGAAAGAACTATGGAAACCAAATTGTCATTTTTTTCTCTTCTGTTAAGTTTTGTTTCCTCTTTCTGATGGTTCCTCCTATTGGTTTTAATTTCTACTTACAACATCACTAATGTGAAAATATGTTTAATATGAATGTAAATTTGTAACCTATATAAGATTATGTGCCATCTTGGGGAGGGTGGTGGGGAGGAAGGGGGAGAAAAATTTTAAACTCAAAAGCATATGGAAGTGATTATTGATAAATCAAAATAAATAAATAAATAATTAAATAGAAAATAAGCAAATAAAGGAAGGAAGAAAGAAAGAAAGAAAGAAAGAAAGAAAGAAAGAAAGAAAGAAAG